ATTCAGACAAAGGAATAGCTTCCCGAACATTCGCGAACGTCTTGTTGCGTCAGCCAACCAGTATTTAACAATTTTTTTAGCCTGTACATTGTAAATTAACAAATATAAACAAACAATGTCTAAAAAGATTTATATAAACATTTTAGTTGTTATTAATATATTGATAAATTAAAGATTCATATTGTGACGTTGCGAATCGTGACGTCACGACGTATTCAGACAAAGGAATAGCTTCCCGAACATTCGCGAACGTCTTGTTGCGTCAGCCAACCGGTATTTAACCAATTTTTTAGCCTGTACATTGTAAATTAACAAATATAAACAAACAATGTCTAAAAAGATTTATATAAACATTTTAGTTGTTATTAATATATTGATAAATTAAAGATTCATATTGTGACGTCGCGAATCGTGACGTCACGACGTATTCAGACAAAGGAATAGCTTCCCGAACATTCGCGAACGTCTTGTTGCGTCAGCCAACCGGTATTCAACCAATTTTTTAGCCTGTACATTGTAAATTAACAAATATAAACAAACAATGTTTAAAAAGATTTATGTAAACATTTTAGTTGCCAATAATACATTGATAAATTAAAGATTTAAATTGTGACGTCGGGAATCGTGACGTCACGACATATTCAAACAAAGGAATAGCTTCTCGAATATTCCCGAACGTGTTGTTGTGTCAGCCAACCAGTATTTAACAATTTTTTTAGCCTGTACATTGTAAATTAACAAATATAAACAAACAATGTTTAAAAAGATTTATATAAACATTTCAGTTGCTAATAATACATTGATAAATTAAAGATTCATATTGTGACGTGGCGAATCGTGACGTCACGACGTATTCAGACAAAGGAATAGCTTCCCGAACATTCGCGAACGTCTTGTTGCGTCAGCCAACCGGTATATATACAGGTCGGCGGCCACTTTTGGGCAGTCTGAGTTGAACGTTCACCACGTGAAGACGTCTGTTCCGAATAAGGAAAGTAAGGAAACAATTTCGCAACTAAGTGGCGAATTTATTTATTTATTTATTTTTAAAATTATTCGTTGTGTATAATAACACATGGTGATAAATGACAGATTTACAATTATTAATGAAATCAACTCGTGCAAACACTGCTAAGAAACTATCATGACACAATTAAATAATATTTAAACAATTCAATTTGTTTAAACATTGTTGAATTGCAATTTTCCGGGCAAAGTATGAAAAATAATTTTAGTAATCTCATGGTGACACACCATGACGTCACTGTCACGTGACCACTTGAGCAAAGGCACGGTCTTCGGTCCGTTGTGTTCAGTTTTGATTTCGATCTGGTGGCAGGAACGTCGGAGCATTCGGAGCCCCGTTCTGGCGTAAAACTACCACGTTTTCGCGAATTTCTAATTGATTGATAATAAATATTAATGAAAATGTTCTGCATTAGCTCTGTGAACACGAAACAAAGTGTGCATTTTTCCAAAAATTCCCAAAAACGGAGTAAATACGGTTGTAGTTTTAATTTATATATACTGTTTAAATATGATAAGTATTAATTAATATAATTAAAGCCGTTTTCCTACAAACGTGAACATATTAAAAACGTGCAATGTTCCAGTCAAAATATGAAAAATAATGTTTGCAATCTCATCGTGATGTTTGATGACATCACTGTCACGAGAGCCACCTGAACAAATATTGCGGTTTTCGGTTAGTTTTGATTTCGGTCTGGTGGCAGCAACATCTGAGCATTCGGAGCTCCGTTTTCGCTTAAAAGTAGCCCGTGGTCGCGAATTTCTAATTTATTGTTTTTCTCATGGCAAGACGCACTCCAGACCTCCTCGTATTGTTTGGTTCTTGCTGGGCAACAACAACGAGCGAGCACAGTCATCGCTCTTTGGTGGCAAACGTGGAGAAATTTGTATATTGTAATTTTTGTAATTGAACCATTTTGTACTGTATATTGCATGTGTTACTAACTTAACTTGGGTCTTGCCAATTTAGATCCAGTGGTGCAAATGCTTTGTTTTCACGGTGCATTTGCTTGGGTTTTAATTTTGCAACAGTGCATTCTTTGGTTCCGAGACTGAATTCTCCATGTCGTCAGACGCTTTGGCCTGGGGGGGTTCTCTGGGCCCTTAGACGCTGGGTCATCATCCTAAAAGGATGAGGTTCATCATCTCAAAGGGATGAGGTCAGTCGGCCCTGTATCTATGCGGCTGCGTTCTCCCTTGGGCGTGTGAGCGCTGCGACCTATAGATTTCGTTTCGAGTTCCATCGGTGTGCTTGCTTGGGTTTTCATTTTGCAACAGCGCATCCTTTGGTTCCAGGTCTGAATTCTCCATGTCGTCAGGAGCTCTTGGTCTGGGGGGGTTCTGTTGGCCCTTAGACGCTGGGTCGCATCATCCTATAAGGATGAGGTCAGTCGGCCTTGGATTTATGCGGCTGCATTCCTGCCTTGGGCGAACGAGCACTGCGACCAATAGATTTCGTTCCGAGTTCCATCGGTGTGCTTGCTTGGGTTTTCATTTTGCAACATTCTCATTTTTTGGTGCAATTTCTTCCGGTGATGAATTGGGTACTAACTTTGCATTTGTTTTGTATCTAAATTGTATCTGTATCTGTAGTGTATTCTGTATTGTAGTTAGATTGTAGGTACCTGTATTGTATTTCTTTTGTATTGTACTGTATAACGTTCTATCCCTCATTAACAAATCCTAGCCCTCTCCTTTCCTAGCGAGATCTGCTCCAGACCTTCCCGTGGTTCTTGCTGAGCATCAACTATCGAGGACAGAAAATTCAAATTCAAAACCAGCAAAGTTTCACAAAAATCTTGAAAATCGCTCGTTGGTGGCCAACGTGGAGCAAAAGAGACTTTTGTAACTCAACTAACTTTGTTAACTTTGTATTCTTAAGGAAACAAAAATGTATTACATTTAATTTATTATTTATAAGGACAAATGTGAAGACAAGTTGTTAACAAATTTTTCCTTCATTTTCCTTTTTTTCCTCGGCAACTTCTACCTTTAATAGGAGTCGTTTCTTTGATAAGCATCATCACTAAATCAGCAATGTTAGTGTTTTGGAGGGGATAAGCAAATATATTTTGACTAAACATTTATTATGCTCTTTTAAACCTTAAAACATCTGCAAGATTTCAAAGCATTCGGTTTTGCAGTTTCTGAGTAAATCAGTAAAATAAATTTACGCTTTCATTAATTTTTTTGAATCACCCTGTATATGCAAATCCAAAAAATATGAATGGAGTGATAGATCACAAGTACAGACTCATCATATTTTGTACATTTTAGATATGATTTATTCCACAAACTGTTGAGCTGACGTCATCAAGTTTTTGGAGGGGATAAGCAAATATTTTTTGACTAAAGATTTATGATGCTCTTTATAGCCTTAAAACATCTGCAACATTTCAAAGCATTCTGGTTAGCACATTAAAAATTAAATTTCAAAATGTTGTTTTATAATTTTGATTTTTTTTCCAAAAATCTGGACGTTTCGGGTGAAAAGTCGATTCAGAGTTGTAAACTACATGTGTAGGACTATGTTATTTTATACAATTGAAAACCCATTTACTATGTACAATTTTGAAGTGACGTCATCGCATTAGTGGTGGGGATGATTAGACAAATTTTGGTTAGCGTTTTACCATCTACATGATATTCTTAATATAAGTACAAAATTTTACAACAATCGGTCGAGTACTTTCGGAGATTATCTGTCTAATAAAAATCCGGGACGGCAGACGGACAGACGGACAGACAGACGGAAATGGGAGACCTATTTCTTCGTCTTCTAGGGGTCATGAAAGATCGAGAAAACGTAAAAGTAGAGAGTCGGCCGACGGACTCGATTACAATACTTCCTTTGCTTACGCTCGGGAAGTAAAAAAATAATTCGAAAAATTGAAAATTTACAAAATCGAGAAATCAAACATCAACGAATCGAAAATTAAAAAAATTGAAAAATCGAAAAATGTAACATTTAAAAAATCGCAAAATTTTGAAAAATCGAATAAATAAAAAATCAAGAAAAGAGAAAGTCGAAAAATTTAAAAATCGAAATACATATTGAAAAATACCAACATTGAAAAATCCCTAAACTTAAATTTTCAACATTTGAAAATCGAAAAACTGAGAAATCGAAAAATCGAAATCGAAAAATTGAAAAAACGTGAAATCCAAACATCATAAGATCGGAAAATTAGAAATTGAAAATTTTCAATTTACCAAAAAAAACGATAATTTGAGAAATCGAAAAATTTTAAACTGAAAAATCGAAACATCGAAAAATATAAAAATCGAAATGCTCAAAAGTCAAAATTAAAATCGAAAAACCGAGAAATAGTGAAGCCCAAAATCGAAAAATCGGAAAATTAAAAACTGAAAAATTTCAATTTACAAAAAAATCGATAAATCAAGAAAACGAAAAATGAAAAAACGGAAAGATTGGAAAATGGAATAATGTTAAATTTAAAAAATCAAAATATTGAAAAATCCAAAAGCTGAAAAATCATAGAAATGAGAAATAATCGAAAAATGTAAAATTTAAAAAATCAAAACACCGAAAAATTGGAAAATTGAAAAACCGAAAAGTCGAACTAGCCCAAAATTTATAAATCAAAAAGTGAAAAATTGAAAAAATTTCAATTCAAAGAAATGCGATAATCGCGAAATCGAAATCGAAAAATTGGAAATTCCAAAACTGAAATATTGAAAAACTGGGAAATCAAATAATTGAAAAATCGAGAAATCGAAATATCGTAAAATCAAAAAATTAAAACTGAAAAATTACAGAATTTAAATTAAAAAGAAAAAGATACATTGGGAAATCGAAACATTTTAAAACTGAAAAATTATCAAAAAACGAGAAATCCAGAAACCTAAAATTTTAAAAAATCAAAATATTGAAAAATCGAAAAATTAAGAAACCCCAAAACAATTGTTCTTTTATAAGTACCTCAAGCGAAATGTACATACACACTACGTTTTTGTTAATTTTTATTGTTAACATTAACGGTACAAAATAAAAATAGAGTAAACTATGGACGTTTTTTCAACCTATTTTTGCGCGTTTCTTCCAAAGCGCACGCTTTCTTCCAACACTCCTCGTCGAGACTGTGTTTCCCCTCTGAAATGCACACCAGTCGTGCCAACACGAGAAGATTGTGAAGATCGTCAGCCGAAACGCCGCCCTTTTGTCTCATATTGACAAACTCGTTTTGTACTAACTATTTAAATAAAAATTAGCAACTCATTCTCACCTATTGACAACTTACCTCTTGTATGTCGTCCGATATGTTATAATCGAGCAATCTCGCCGACGTCAAATAAACCCGAATTTCGTTCAACAATTCCGGCTTCAAAAAATGTCGAGCTGCTTGGAGGATTTCGCTGAACGTGTTCAAGTGCATTTCGTCCGGTTCGAGAACAACGTGGACGTCACTCTAAAACCAACACTTCAAACAAAAACACCCTAAATACGGACGACATACCGGCAACATGGACTTTCCTTCCGAGAAAATCAAAAACGGAATGTCGCAGTCGAACTCTATCTGATAGTAGGTAAAATCGTACATTGTTTTTTGGTTTTTAATCGCACTGGCTATGGCTTTCACTCCTGCCACTCCGGCTTCGTTCAGTTTACCCGGGGTCAATTTCGTCTCGTCGACAACGAGATGGGTGTTCGCGCTCAGTTGCAAAATGCTGCTCGTCAAACGGTTAGACGTGTAATCTTTCCTTAAAAACAAAAAGAAATTTAAATTTGGCGCCACTAACAACACACGTCATTCGCTCATTTAAAGCGACCAATCGTGTTACATTCAGTTATGAAGATTTTAAATTTGGCGCTAACAATGACCGATTTCATTGGTTCGTTTAAATTTAGACATTTAGACATAGATTAATATAGATGCGAAATACAAGCTGATTTTGCAAAACCACCCTTATTGACATTGGAGTCCTCAACCGCCAAAGGCAAACGCCAAATTTAAATAGTCGATGCCAATAAAAAAACTTGTTTCACTACAACTCGTCGCCTGAGAACTTGTTTGATCTACAGACCAGAGCGCGCTCAGGCCATTGTCGACTCTAAGCGTTCAGAAGCAATTTGGTTGGTTTGGACTATAATTTCTGCGGGAAATAGAATAGAATAGTAGGTTTTTATAACGACTAAGCGAATATTTTTGGTACATATTTAGATGATTTTACATATTTTGCTTAACTAAAAATTAATTCTTTATTTGTGTTCGATTTCTTGATTTTTGATTTCTCGAGTTTTTGATTTTTCGATTTTTTTATTTTTATTTTTCGACTTTTCGATTTTTTAATTTTTGGAATTTTCGACTTTTTGATGCTTGATTTTTTTTTGTTTCTTCAGTTTTTCGATTTGTAATTTTTCTACTTTTCAAGTTTAAATTTTTCAGTTTTTCGATTTTCCAACTTTCCAATTTTTATTTTATTTTTTTTTATCATTTCGATTTTATAATTTTTTGTTTATTCAATTTTCATTTTTTCATTTTAAACACTTCTGCGATTTTTCGACTTTTGAGTTTTCCGATTTTTCCATTCTCATTTTTAAAATTTTCGAATTTTAGATTTTTCGATTTCTAAATTGCTTGATTTCCCGATTTTTTTATTTTTCAGTTTTTCGGTTTCTTGATTTTCCATTTTTATTTGGTTCTTAAGACTTTTCGATTTTTTAATTCTTCAAATTTTCGATTTCTTTATGTTTCATTTTTTATTTTTCTAATTTGCAATATTTCGAGTTTTCAAGTTTAAATTTTTCAGTTATTCGATTTTCCAACTTTGGAATTTGTCAATTTTTAGATTTTGCAATTTTTATTTATTTTTTTTATTTCGATTTTATAATTTTTTGTTTCTTCAATTTCCGTTTGTCCATTTTAAACACTTTTGCGATTTTCCAACTTTTGAGTTTTCTGATGTTTCGATTTTTCGATTTCTAAATTGCTTGAATTCCCATTTTTTTTTATTTTTCAGTTTTTCGGTTTCTTGATTTTCCATTTTAATTTAGTTCTTAAGACTTTTCGATTTTTTAATTCTTCAAATTTTCGACTTTCTGATGTTTCGTTTTTAATTTTTTTGTTTATTCAGTTTTTCGATTTTTAATTTTTCAAGTTTAAATTTTTCATTTTTTCGATTTTCCAACTTTGGAATTTTTCAATTTTTATATTTTGCAATTTTTATTTATTAATTTTTTTTTACTATTTCGACTTTGTAAGTAATTTTTTGTTTTTCAATTTCAATTTTTCGATTTGCATTTTTTCATTTTAAATTTTTTCAGTTTTGCGATTTTCCAACTTTTGAATTTTCCGATTTTTCAGTTTTTCGATTTCTCGATTTTTCGTTCTTTCGAAAGTTTTGATTTTTCGATTTTTCCATTTTTAGATTTTCCGACATTTCGACTTTTTAATTGTTCGAATTTTCGATTTTTTGATGTTTTAGTTTTCAGTTTTTTAATTTGCAATATTTCGAGTTTTCAAGTTTAAATTTTTCAGTTTTTCGATTTTCCAACTTCACAATTTTTATTTTATTTTTTTTTTGTCATTTCGATTTTATAATTTTTTGTTTTTTCAATTTGCATTTTTTTATTTTAAACACTTGCGATTTTCCAACTTTTGAGTTTTCCGATTTTTCCATTCGCATTTTTAAAATTTTCGAATTTTAGATTTTCTGACGTTTCGATTTTTCGATTTCTAAATTGCTTGAATTCCCGATTTCTTTATTTTGCAGTTTTTCGGTTTCTTGATTTTCCATTTTATTTATATAGTTCTTAAGACTTTTCGTTTTTTAATTCTTCAAATTTCCGACTTTTTGATGTTTCAATTTTTATTTTTTTGTTTATTCAGTTTTTCGATTTTTAATTTTTCAAGTTTCAATTTTTCATTTTTTCGATTTTCCAACTTTGAAATTTTGCAATTTTTATTTTTTTTTTTTTTTTTATTTCGATTTTATAATTTTTTGTTTTTCAATTTCAGTTTTTCGATTTGCATTTTTTTTCATTTTAAATTTTTTCAGTTTTGAATTTTCTGATTTTTCAGTTTTTCGATTTCTCGATTTTTTGTCATTTCGAAAGTTTTGATGTTTCGATTTTTCCATTTTTAGATTTTTCGACATTTCGACTTTTTAATTCTTCGAATTTTCGATTTTTTGATGTTTTATTTTTCAGTTTTCTAATATGCAATATTTCGAGTTTTCAAGTTTAAATTTTTCAGTTTTTCGATTTTTAAACTTTACAATTTTTATTTAATTTTTTTTTCATCATTTGGATTTTATAATTTTTTGTTTTTCAATTTCCATTTTTTCATTTTAAACACTTTTGCGATTTTCCAACTTTTGAGTTTTCCGATTTTTCTATTGTCATTTTTAAAATTTTCGAATTTTAGATTTTTCGATTTCTAAATTGCTTGAATTCCCGATTTTTTATTTTTCAGTTTTTCGGTTTCTTGATTTTCCATTTTTATTTAGTTCTAAAGACTTTTCGATTTTTTTAATTCTTCAAATTTTCGACTTTTTGGTGTTTTATTTTTCAGTTTTTTGTTTATTCAGTTTTTCGATTTTTAATTTTTCAAGTTTAAATTTTTCATTTTTTCGATTTTCCAACTTTGGAATTTTTCAATTTTTATATTTTGCAATTTTTATTTATTAATTTTTTTTTATTATTTCGACTTTATAACTTTTCGTTTCTCGATTTCAATTTTTCGATTTGCATTTTTTCATTTTAATTTTTTCAATTTTGCCATTTTCCAACTTTTGAATTTTTCGATTTTTCAGTTTTTCGATTTATCGATTTTTCGTTCTTTCGAAAGTTTTGATTTTTCGATTTTTCCATTTTTAGATTTTTCGACATTTCGACTTTTTAATTCTTCGAATTTTCGATTTTTTGATGTTTTATTTTTCAGTTTTCTAATTTGCAATATTTCGAGTTTTCAAGTTTAAATTTTTCAGTTATTCGATTTCCCAACTTTGGAATTTTTCAATTTTTAGATTTTGCAATTTTTATTTATTTTTTTATTTCGATTTTATAATTTTTTGTTTTCCAATTTCCGTTTTTCGATTTGCATTTTTTTTTCATTTTAAATTTTTTCAGTTTTGCGATTTTCCAACTTTTGATTTTTCCGATTTTTTAGTTTTTCGATTTCTCAATTTTTCGTTTTTTCCAATGTTCAATGTTTTGCTTCTACTTCTCAATTTTCGATGTTTGATTTTTTGAATTTTTATTGTCTTGATTTTTCGATTTCTCGAGTTTTGAGTTTTTGATTTTTCATTCTTCGATTTTTCTATTCTCATTTTTTAAATTTTTGAATTTCAGACTTTAAATTGTTTCGATTTTTCGGTTCCTCGAATTTCGTTTTTAATTCTTGAAATTTTTGACTTTTTAATGTTACATTTTTCATTTTCTTTGTTTTTTCTGTTTTTCGATTTTCCAACTTCAGAATTTTTAGACTTTGCAATTTTTGTTTTTATTGTTTAAATCTATCGATTTTATTAATTTTTTTCTTCAATTTCATTTTTGGATTTGCATTTTTTCATTTTTAAATTTTTCAGTTTTGCGATTTTCCAAATTCTAAATTATCCAATTTTTTAGTTTTTCGATTTCTCAGTTTTGATGTTTGATTTTTCGAATTTTTATTGTCTTGATTTTTCGATTTTTCGAATTTTTGATTCTTTGATGTTCCGATTTCTAGATTGCTTGAAGTCTCGATGTTTTTATTTTTCAGTTTTTCAATTTCCTGACTTTCGATTTTTTAATTCTTCGAATTTTCGACTTTTTGATATTTGATTTTTCATTTTTGTTTGTTTCTTGGATTTTTCGATTTTTAATTTTTACAGTTTTCGATTTTGCAATTTTTATGTTTATTTTATTTATTATTTCAATTTTATAATTTTTTGTTTTTTTAATTTCAATTTTTCGATTTGAACTTTTTTATTTTAAAATTTTTCCATCTTTCGATTTTCCAACTTTTGAATTTTCAGATTTTTTAGTTTTTCGATTTCTCAATTTTCGATGTTTCGAATATTCGATTTCTAGATGGCTTGAATTCTCGATTTTTTTATTTTTCAATTTTTTGATTTCCTGATTTTCTGTTTTTCCATTTTTAGAGATCTTTCGACTTTTCGATTTTTTAATTCTTCAAATTTTCGACTTTTTAATGTTCTATTTTTATTTATTTTTGTTTCTTCAGTTTTTCGAATTGCAATTTTTCGAGTTTTCGAGTTTAAATTTTTCAGTTTTTCGATTTTCCAACTTTGGAATGAAAATGTTTTGGAAACACTGTGTTCTATTTTGTATGAATTTTTAAATGTTTTTAGTGACAATTTTTGTATGATATTAACAGTGAGAAAAAAAAAAAGAAAAATAAAAATAATCGAAAATTCGGAAAATCGAGAAATCTAATAATGGAAAAATCGAAACCTTAAAAAATCGTAAAACCGAAACATTGAAAAATCGAAATATCGAAGAACTGAAAATCGAAAAATGAAACATCAGAAAATCGAAAAAATGCAAAATTGAAAAACCTAAAATTTAAAACCGAATAATGAAAAATCGAGAAATCAAAACCCCAAATTTAAAAAATCCGATAACTGAAAAAACGAAACACCGAAAGATGGAAAATCGAAAAATAGAGACATCGACAAACAAAAAGTTAAAAGTTGAAAAATTGGAAAAGCGGAAAAATCAAAAAACGAAAAAATGGAAAACTGGAAAAACTGAGAAACCGAAATTTGAAAAATCAAAAACCTGAAAAATCAAAAAATTAAAGAACTGAAGAACACGAAAATCGAAACACTCGAAGGTCAAAAAATGGGAAAATTAAAACGTCGATTAATTGAAAAATCGAAAAATTGAAAGTTTATAAAAGTCAAATTTGAAAAATTTAAAAATCGAAGAATTGAAGAAACGACAATTGAAAAACAGAAAATCTAAAACCGGGAAGTCGAAAAATCAAAAGATTAAGAAATCGAAACACTTGAAAAATTCGAAACCTTGAAAAATTAAACTATCAAAGAACTGAAATGAAAAACCGAGAAATTGAATAATCTAAAATTTTAAATATTGAACAATTAAAATATCAAAAAACTGAAAAATCTAAAATTTAAAAATCGAAGAATTGAAAAAACGACAATTGAAAAACAAAATCTAAAACCGGGAAGTCGAAAAATCGAAAGATTAAGAAATCGAAACATTTGAAAAATTGAAATATGGAAGAGCTGAAATGAAAAATCGAGAAATCGAAAAATCAAAAATTTTAAATATTGAAAAATTAAAACACCAAAAAATTGAGAAGTCAAAAATGGAAAAGTCGAAGAACAGAAATATTGAAAAATCCCATAACTGAAATATCGAAAAACTGAAAAATGAAAGAAAAACTGACGAATCGAAAAACTGAAAAATCCCAAAACTGAAATATCCAAAAACTGAGAATCCAAAGAATCGAAAAATCAAAAAAGTGAAGTCGAAAAATCAAAATAGAAAAATTGAAAAACCAAAAAATGATGAAAATTTTAAATTTGGCGCCAACAATGACCCATTTCATTGGTTCGTTTAAATTTGACATTTATAAATGCGTTCACGTCACTTACTTGGGAACGAAGGTGAGTTCATTCATGTTTTCCAAAGACATGGCCAAGTAGTGACTCTTGGTCACCATTAACTCCAGAAACTTGTACAGTTCTTGCACGTAGTCCAGATTTTCCAGCTGCGGCGTGTTGGAAATATTGAGAGAAAATTTCCCTAGAGCCATCAACTCTTTTCTCAAATATCTGCAAAAAATCGCAAATAAACGGAAGATACGACTTCCAACTCTTACACTTCTGAAATCAAGTTGTAAATGAAATATTCAGCGGCTAGTTCGTCCCCACACAGCAACTGAGTCAATAAAATCAGAAGCTCCTTTCTAACAACTGGCATTCGTTCACTTGGCATTGACTCATTGATTAGAGGATTGTTGTGCTTCAAGGGTTTGAATGAAACGCAATGGATCCTGGGGACGAGAGACGGGGGCGGATTATGAACTTGAAACTCGACGTCGTTCATCTCGTCATCGTCGTGCGTCGCTAGAGACGGATCCACTGATAGAAACCCGACAAACTCACACACGCTATTTATTTTCAAAGAGTCACAATTCTGGTAAACTTTGACATGACAAACTTTCCCATTGGAATCAGGAATGGGGAAATTGAGTAAGTGCTCTTGTGAAACGACATTTGAAGCTTTGTTATTCTTCACTTGCATACATTGTTTTTTGTTATCATTTGACTGCTCCAAGGGGTCACAATTATCAGTTTCCATTTCGTCAAGGGGGCGCTTAGCTTGACTATGACACGACGTAGAGGGTTGAGGGTTATTCGTCAGTTTATAGACACTTTCTTCTAATTTATATGCCCATGTGTTGACCGCAGGGACTGAAATGGCTACGTACGTCTGTCTTTCGCTTCGAACAACTGAGGAGCCATCACCATCGATGATTTCGTGCGGCTACAAGTCAATACTTACTATGTGTTAACACAAGTCATTGTTGTGTACCTCACACGACGCTATATCAATGTATTTTCCCACTCTGGTGGTCACCTTTTTCGTTTCCTCGTTCATAACCTCAAATTTTTCTAAGTAAAATTCGGGCCCGTGCATGTCTTGGATCATGCCTTGGAAGCGGACAAGTCGAGAGTCTTTAAGATCGTGGAGGTCGTTTACGTTTAATAGCGGTATCTGCAATTTAGCGATAGGTTTTTGGTAGAAGTTAAAATTTTCAAACCTTGGTCCAAGTTGTTTCGTCGTTTAACATCTCCAAGAAATGGGTTTCCTGGTCGTACCATTGTAGAGGGGTGCAGTTTAAGATGTCCATCGAGTTATTTACTGGAAAAAAAGAGTTGTTCAGGGACAAAATGTTTGGAGAAGTGAAAACTTTGGCGCCAAAATATTTGCAAAAGATAGGTTATGAAATTTAAATGTCAATGATGATTTTATACATACCGATCTTAATCCATACAAAGAAATTATTTCAATTCTGAGTTCATCAGGAATTTTTAAATAAAATAAACTGGAACGCTGAGGACAATTCGTCAACAAGGTTTAAAATTTTCTGTGGATCTGTGTTTTTGGACGTTGTTGCCTAAAAATGCGAAATGCGAATTTTCGAAAATTTAAAAAATTTCGATATTTCAACGATCGATTCTGGAAAAACGGTTGCAGTTATCAAAAAACCGATGCTGGAAATGAGCTCTAGAGCTAGAAATCTACAAGAAAATGTGTTTAGTTAAGTTTCGAAAATGTCAAAATTTTAGCGAAATTTGAAGAAGGGGGGACCATTAAAAAATTTCAGTTTTTAGAAAGTTGCCTAAAAATTATGAAAAAATTCAGGGACGTAGATCTCGACGCGCTGATTCCAAAAATATAGCATGTTGATGGTCACGAAGCAACATTTTCGAAAAATTCGGTACTAGATGCGAATTTTTGAAAATTTAAAAAATTTCATTATTTCAGCGGTCGATTCTGGAAAAACTGTTGCAGTTATCAAAAAACCGATGCTGGAAATGAGCTCTAGGACTCGAAATCTACCAGAAAATGTGTTTAGTTAAGTTTCGAAAATGTCAAAATTTTAGCGAAATTTGAAGAAGGGAGGACCATTAAAAAATTTCAATTTTTAAAAAGTTGCCTAAAAATTATGAAAAAATTCAGGGACGTAGATCTCGACGCGCTGATTCCAAAAATATAGCATGTTGATGGTCACGAAGCAACATTTTCGAAAAATTCGGTACTTGATGCGAATTTTTGAAAATTTAAAAAATTTCGGTATTTCAGCGGTCGATTCTAGAAAAACTGTTGCAATTATAAAAAAACCGATGCTGGAAATGAGCTCTAGATCTAGAAATCTACAAGAAAATGTGTTTAGTTGAGTTTCGAAAATGTCAAAATTTTAGCGAAATTTGAAGAAGGGGGGACCATTAAAAAATTTCAATTTTTAAAAAGTTGCCTAAAAATTATGAAAAAATTCAGGGACGTGGATCTCGACGCGCTGATTCCAAAAATATAGCATGTTGATGGTCACGAAGCAACATTTTCGAAAAATTCGGTACTAGATGCGAATTTTTGAAAATTTAAAAAATTTCGGTATTTCAGCGGTCGATTCTGGAAAAACAGTTGCAGTTATCAAAAAACCGATTCTAGAATTGAGCTCTAGAACTCGAAATCTACAAGAAAACGTGTTTAGTTAAGTTTCGAAAATGTCAAAATTTTAGCGAAATTTGAAGAAGGGGGGACCATTAAAAAATTTCAGTTTTTAGAGAGGTGCCTAAAAATTATGAAAAAATTCAGGGACGTAGATCTCGACGCGCTGATTCCAAAAATATAGCATGTTGATGGTCACGAAGCAACATTTTCGAAAAATTCGGTACTAGATGCGAATTTTTGAAAATTTAAAAAATTTCGGTTTTTCAGCGGTCGATTCTGGAAAAACTGTTGCAGTTATCAAAAAACCGATGCTGGAAATGAGCTCTAGAGCTAGAAATCTACAAGAAAATGTGTTTAGTTGAGTTTCGAAAATGTCAAAATTTTAACGAAATTTGAAGAAGGGGGGAAAATTAAAAAATTTCAATTTTTAAAAAGTTCCCGAAAAATTATGAAAAAATTCAGGGACGTAGATCTTGACCCGCTGATTCCAAAAATATAGCATGTTCATGATCACAAAGCAACATTTTCGAAAAATTCGGTACTCGATGCGAATTTTTGAAAATTTAAAAAAATTCGGTATTTCAGCGGTCGATTCTGGAAAAACTGTTGCAGTTATCAAAAAACAGATGCTGGAAATGAGCTCTAGAGCTAGAAATCTACAAGAAAATGTGTTTAGTTAAGTTTCGAAAGTGTCAAAATTTTAGCGAAATTTGAAGAAGGGGGGACCATTAAAAAATTTCAATTTTTAAAAAGTTGCCTAAAAATTATGAAAAAATTCAGGGACGTGGATCTCGACGCGCTGATTCCAAAAATATAGCATGTTGATGGTCACGAAGCAACATTTTCGAAAAATTCGGTACTAGATGCGAATTTTTGAAAATCTAAAAAATTTCAGTATTTCAGCGGTCGATTCTGGAAAAACTGTTGCAGTTATCAAAAAACTGATGCTGGAAATGAGCTCTAGAGCTAGAAATCTACAAGAAAATGTGTTTAGTTAAGTTTCGAAAATGTCAAAATTTTAGCGAAATTTGAAGAAGGGGGGACCATTAAAAAATTTCAGTTTTTAGAAAGTTGCCTAAAAATTATGAAAAAATTCATGGACGTGGATCTCGACGCGCTGATTCCAAAAATATAGCATGTTGATGGTCACGAAGCAACATTTTCGAAAAATTCGGTACTAGATGCGAATTTTTGAAAATTTAAAAAATTTCGGTATTTCAGCGGTCGATTCTGGAATAACTGTTGCAGTTATCAAAAAACCGATGCTGGAAATGAGCTCTAGAGCTAGAAATTTACAAGAAAATGTGTTTAGTTAAGTTCCGAAAATGTCAAAATTTTAGCGAAATTTGAAGAAGGGGGGACCATTAAAAAATTTCAGTTTTTAGAAAGTTGCCTAAAAATTATGAAAAAATTCAGGGACGTAGATCTCGACGCGCTGATTCCAAGAATATAGCATGTTGATGGTCACGAAGCAACATTTTCTAAAAATTCGGTATCAGATGCGAATTTTTGAAAATTTAAAAAATTTCGGTATTTCAGCGGTCGATTCTGGAAAAACTGTTGCAGTTATCAAAAAACCGATGCTGGAAATGAGCTCTAGAGCTAGAAATCTACAAGAAAATGTGTTTAGTTAAGTTTCGAAAGTGTCAAAATTTTAGCGAAATTTGAAGAAGGGGGGACCATTAAAAAATTTCAATTTTTAAAAAGTTTCCTAAAAATTATGAAAAAATTCAGGGACGTAGATCTCGACGCGCTGATTCCAAAAATATAGCATGTTGATGGTCACGAAGCAACATTTTCGAAAAATTCGATACTAGATGCGAATTTTTGAAAATTTAAAAAGTTTCGGTATTTCAGCGGTCGATTCTGGAAAAACTGTTGCAGTTATCAAACACCGATGCTGGAAATGAGCTCTAGAGCTAGAAATCTACAAGAAAATGTGTTTAGTTAAGTTTCGAAAATGTCAATATTTTAGTGAAATTTGAAGAAGGGGGGGGGGGGGACCATTAAAAAATTTCAGTTTTTAGAAAGTTGCCTAAAAATTATGAAAAAATTCAGGGACGTAGACCTCGACGCGCTGATTCCAAAAATATAGCATGTTGATGGTCACGAAGCAACATTTTCGAAAAATTCGGTACTAGATGCGAATTTTTGAAAATTTAAAAAATTTCGGTATTTCAGCGGTCGATTCTGGAAAAACTGTTGCAGTTATCAAAAAACCGATGCTGGAAATGAGCTCTAGAGCTAGAAATTTACAAGAAAATGTGTTTAGTTAAGTTTCGAAAATGTCAAAATTTTAGCGAAATTTGAAGAAGGGGGGACCATTAAAAAATTTCAGTTTTTAGAAAGTTGCCTAAAAATTATGAAAAAATTCAGGGACGTAGACCTCGACGCGCTGATTCCAAAAATATAGCATGTTGATGGTCACGAAGCAACATTTTCGAAAAATTCGGTACTAGATGCGAATTTTTTAAAATTTAAAAAATTTCGGTATTTCAGCGGTCGATTCTCGAAAAACTGTTGCAGTTATCAAAAAACCGATGCTGGAAATGAGCTCTAGAGCTAGAAATCTACAAGAAAATGTGTTTAGTTAAGTTTCGAAAATGTTAAAATTTTAGCGAAATTTGAAGAAGGGGGGACCATTAAAAAATTTCAGTTTTTAAAAAGTCGCCTAAAAATTATGAAAAAATCCAGGGACGTAGATCTCGACGCGCTGACTCCAAAAATATAGCATGTTGATGGTCACGAAGCAACATTTTCGAAAAATTCGGTACTGGATGCGAATTTTTGAAAATTTAAAAAATTTCGGTATTTCAGCGGTCGATCTCTGGAAAAACTGTTGCAGTTATCAAAAAACCGATGCTGGAAATGAGCTCCAGAGCTATAAATCTACAAGAAAATGTGTTTAGTTAAGTTTCGAAAATGTCAAAATTTTAGCGAAATTTGAAGAAGGGGGGACCATTAAAAATTTTCAATTTTTAAAAAGTTGCCTAAAAATTATGAAAAAATTCAGGGACGTAGATCTCGATGCGCTGATTCCAAAGATATAGCATGTTGATGGTCACGAAGCAACATTTTCGAAAAATTCGGTACGAAATGCAAATTTTTGAAAATTCATAAAATTTCGGTATTTCAGCGGTCGATTCTGGAAAAACTGTTGCAGTTATCAAAAAACCGATGTTGGAAATGAGCTCTAGAGCTAGAAATCTACAAGAAAATTTGTTTTGTTAAGTTTCGAAAATGTCAAAATTTTAGCGAAATTTGAAGAAGGGGGGACCATTAAAAAATTTCAATTTTTTAAAAAGTTGCCTAAAAATTATGAAAAAATTCAAGGACGTAAATCTCGACGCGCCGATTCCAAAAATATAGCATGTTGATGGTCACGAAGCAACATTTTCGAAAAATTCGGTACTAGATGCGAATTTTTGAAAATTTAAAAAATTTCGGTAATTCAGCGGTCGATCTCTGGAAAAACTGTTGCAGTTATCAAAAAACCGATGCTGGAAATGAGCTCCAGAGCTATAAATCTACAAGAAAATGTGTTTAGTTAATTTTCGAAAATGTCAAAATTTTAGCGAAATTTGAAGAAGGGGGGATCATTAAAAAATTTCAATTTTTTTAAAGTTGCCTAAAAATTATAAAAAAATTCAGGGACGTAGATCTCGACGCGCTGATTCCAAAAATATAGCATGTTGATGGTCACGAAGCAACATTTTCAAAAAATTCGGTACTAGATGCGAATTTTTGAAAATTTAAAAA